GTATATAATGTCTCCACTTTTGTGATTATACTAATTTAAATATGTTAATTGTGTTTTGTGAGTAGCGCAACATCAGTTTATCTTTATTGCATTTATTTGCTCATTGGTATATGATTAGATGTTAGCAGCTTCTCTGCGAGTATTTGCACTATATTATTAGTTAAAGCGCAGGAGGTTCACACCACTATTCCTACAATCATCATCATTCCCACCCACCTCATTGCCATTTGACAGTAAGCTGCAGCTACAGGAATATCACTATCAATTGGTTCTCTATGCTCCCATTGCTGTCCTCCCCAACCTCAGATGAAAAATAAATGCTGTCAATCCTCTTACTGCAAGTGACTGAAACTGTGCTCAAATAATTCCACTGACTCCTCCATGAAAGTTAGTGAACAACAGTAGAATTGGCTGTGGAAGAGCAAGAAGAACAGCTAAACTTGGGAAACAGCCATATTATATTTTCTCCACCTCCCCTAAATGAGCCTTCATTAAGCAATAGAAGAATGTTGCTGCTTTATGCCTTGTTGTGTGGAGATGTCTTTAAAACTATATGAGCCTGGCCAGGAGAAAGATGACATACTGAAAGATGAGAGGGATGGGTAGTTATTTTGCAACTTCATTGCCAGTATGATCATTAATTTCAAGGTTCAATGAAATAAGTATTAGAAATGTTATCTTCACTATATTCTGTACACACTAAAATAAAATTAATTAATGGATGCTGAACATCATTTGAAATAAAAATGTACATAGGATAAGATAGAAAAATTCTAATTAGGGACAAGTGCAGCAAAAATATTTAAAAAATCTGTAAATTGCAAACTTTAATGTGAACCCTATTAAATATTGAAAATTAATTCTATCTACAGCATGTTCAAGGCTAATAAGCAAGGGATTGTCAAACAAAGGGTTAGAGGCCTGGAGATGCCTGTGACATGTTACGTCTGTGAAATGTACTACAGCAACAGCAACATTAGAATAAAAAAGTTGCCACCAAATGGTATTTCCATGCCAGCTTGGTATATTATACTGTTCAGCAGGGAGCAACTATTTTAATAAGACCTAAAGGACAGCTTACAAAAATACACCGTTCCTTTAAATAACATAACCCTGAATGTGAAGCAACACACAAGTAGGATGTACACAAGCAAATTAAAAAATAGCATTTAAATTAGCTGCAGTTAAAAGAAATTTCCTGGCCACTTTGTTCATCTCAAAACAAAGCAGCTGGAGATTCACTTCATCTTTAGCAGTCTAATACTAGACCAGGGTCTGATATGGATTGTAAGAGAAACCCCTTAAAAAAAACACACTCGGTACTCCATAAGAATACATATCAGACCCTTGGTCTTGATGAGAGTCTGGAATGGGTTTTAAGGGCACCCAACAAAAGAAATGAAACAAACCATACCAGGAAAGAGATGACAATGATCATGTGTCCCCCAAACTATACCAGGTCACATGCTGTCAACATAAGAAGGGTACCTTGCCAGCCCCCCCCCCCTCCATAGCAAAGCTTCTCTCCATATTGATGAGGATAACGGCTTATTTCTCACATTCCTGGTCCAGTGGATGTAGGATGCTGTTTGGGGGGGGGGGGGGGTGGCTTATCAGAATCTCAAAAGCCTCCTTTAAAACAAAGGTGCCCTCAGACATTTGCTGTTACAATGTGAATGAATAAGGAGTTTTTTATACATCATGATTGGTGCGGACCTAAATCACTGGACAATCTGAATAATGATGCTGAATTTACACTGTGGGACATTTTTTTTAAAAAGGAATTTGTCCAATCTGCAGCGTGTTTATTTACTATTTAATTGTTTTTTGAATGAGTAACTAGGAATACCCATTACTAATTCATGTGCTGATCAAAATATCTAGGGCCCCCTTTTTTAAAGGGGACTTCCAGATTCCAAAAAGTGCCCTTACAGACCACATTCACTGGGCCAGGGATGTAGGGAAAATGTCCTTTTCCTTATCAACATTTTTTGTTAATGAGTAACTAGAAGTACTATGTTGCATAAAAAAGGGCTGGATATCTGGGGCACCTTTCCAGATTCCAATAAGTCTCCCCTCATTCCAGACCCCTATGTAGGATAAGGTTTTGCTATGACTTTGGCAAAACCTCATGGGGTTTTTTTTTCTAGGTATTTACATTATTTATTTGTTTGTGTATTTCTTTATTTTTCTCTTGGTTGAACTAGATGTGGCTTTTTTCAATCTACTTTATGTAACTATATTTTTGGTGGTGCACCATAACAATAAAAGACAGCTGCAGGCTCCTAATAACCAATGATGTCATCAGTTGATGGGACGCAAGTGGCCAACCTTTACAGTGCCCTTGGATGTCAAGATTCAGAAAGCCACTTTCATCCTAGCAAATTTTTATGTTTTTCTGTTTGCAGACTGCACAGATAAAGTTTTTAATAAGTGAAATTAGTAATGCCACCTATAAGCAAAATGACTTCTTACTACAACCAAACGTTCAATTCAGTGGGTGGCCAAGCACCCTATGTAGCTTGCCTATTTGCTGATTTGCAAACACCCAAAGTTTGTACTTATCTTGTACATTCATGAATGCAAACCCCATCCCTATTAGTCAGCTTTCTGCAGTCCAGTTGGAATTCATTTGAGTAGAACCTGATAACATTTAAAACGAGGACATTTAATATGGGCAAATTTAGATCATGCTTAAATTTTGAAAGACCAGAAATGTTATTTTTGAAAAAAGTGTGAATCTTCATATTAAACCTTAAAATGAAACTTTAGTCAGAAAAGCAAGACCTGCTAGATCACTTTGTGCTTGCCCCTTTTTCAGGTATAGCTATGTAAAACATTTTTAAAAAGTGCCAATACTGTTTAAAATCCAGAAATACAATGTCTCACCATGCTCTGCACATACTCAGCTGCTCTCTATTTTCTGGCTCTGTGCCAAATATATAGAGACCCAATCTGCTGACAGTCTGAAGATTTACTACTGCTCAGGGGCTCTGGGCTTCAGCAAAAAGAAACAGGAGCAATGCTAGAGGCAATTTACATCACACATTCATTTTAATAGCATAATTATTCATGTGGAATGTATGTTCCTTTCTAAAGAACATTGTTTTTTAAGTTGCTATGGGTTAAATTTCACTTTTACCCAGACATAAAGCACCACAGTGAACAGAAAAATTGCGTGTTTTTCTTTCAGGTCTGGAATATCATTAAATTTGTCTAACAAAATTTAAGTCAATAGGAAGAAATTATAACAAATGTATATTTTACTAAAATAGCTCAGTAGAAGCTACACACAGCCTTTTTTAATATAGATCTGCTCTGATTCATAAACCATCCATCTCCATTATAAAATATGAAATTCTGATGTTTTAAACATAGTTTTTAACATTTCTTGCCATTCTTTTTCATAGCTTAATAGCTAATGTTAAGCAGCTGCAGTTGCTGGCAGCTGAGGGTGAGCAATCATGTCCAAAAATATATTAGTTGTTTTATTTATCCAACTATTTGAATCCTGGCATGTCAACAAGCTTTGTACAAATTAAGTTTGAAAATATCAAAGGGTGATGTAATTTAAGATGGTGACAGTTCCAGCACTGACAAAAATGGTCAACGCTGTACATAAGCTTACTACTTTGTTATATTATTCACAAAACATTCAATTCTGGCTAAAAGTGACTTTCCAGTTGATATCATGAAAAGTAAACAATGGAAAAAATTCTCAATATATTTTTTGAAGATTTATTGAATCTTCAGAAGCAAATCTGCCAAAGTTTCCACTGGTTTTCATCAAACAGGAATGAAAATTTTATCTTCTTTGCCAAGTAATGATCAAACTGTGACTAAATTAGCAGCTGGCATTACAGAAGATGTATTTATTATTTGAATGAGGTGCACATTTTTATAATAAAACTTATCAATACAAAGATTTTCTTTAAATTATTTCTGTGCTGCTTTATTTTAACTGGACAATGCTGCACCCCAATAAAAATTTATGTCCTTTTTTTTCCAAAAATTCAGCTTTCTTTTGGTGGTATTTGATGGCCTGTGCATTTTTATTTTTGTGCTGTTAAAAAAAAGAAAATGACAATTTTGAGAAAAATAATATTTTTGACTTTTTGCTATTAAACATGTCCAGTAAAAAAATGTCAAAAATCTAATTTCATCATAAATTTACACCAAAATGTATTCTGCTACATGTCTTTGCTAAAACAAAATCCCAATACGTGTTAATTGGTTTACGTGAACGTTATAGCGTTTACAAATGGTGGTATATATACTGGGATTTTTTTAAATTTTTTATTTTTACTAGTGATGGAGGCAATCAGCAACTTATAGCGGGACTGCAGGACTGCGGTGGACATTCTGACACTGGGGGGAACTGACTTGGTGTCACTGACATCCCCAGTGACACCAATATAGTGATCAGTGCTAAAAAAAGCACTGACATTGTACTAATGGCACTGGGCAGGAAGGGGTTAACATGAGGGGCGATCAAAGGGTTAACTGTGTGCTCTCTTTTACACTGAGGTGTCATTTTATGAAACAGAGATCAGTGGCGATCCTAATGATCATTGCTGATCTCAGATCATTAGTGGTTTAGGAAACAGGGATGATCAGCGGAGAACATGTTCTCCGCTGATCATCTCAGCACACAGATAGCCAGTGTATGAAGGAGCGATTTCAGCCCTTCACTGATAATCTGTGTTCTCCCTCCAGATTCTCCAGCACAGAGGGGAGAATCGGAGGAACCGCAAACTAAGCAGCGATAATTTACCGCTGCTTAGTAAACGGTGTTTGACTGATCTCTTACTGTAATCTCGCAAGATTACAGTAACAACAGCCGTTTTCTAGCGTGCAAAGCGTTTGTATATTGCTTCTCTCTTCATTCGGAGAAGCGATTTACACCACTTCATAAAAAGGCATTCAGAGGAGAACTCTCTCCTCTGAGAAAGCCGGAGAACTGAGCAGCGGTCGTTTACCGCTGCATGATAAAAGGACACCTGAGTGGCTGTGTTTGTGCTTCACTGTAAGCACACTGTTTTGCATGGCTGTGCTATGCACAGCCATGCAAAGCAGTGTGCAGGAGCTGACAGGGGAGAGAACTGTTTTGTTTACAAACAGTTCTCCCCCCCTTCCCCATCGGAGATGCTCGGCAATCACCAGGCGCTAGTGGGAATCACCGGCCAGGACCCGGTGATTGACAGCCGCGGCCATGAATGGCAGAGTGGGTAGGGCAATGCAAAATCACATATATATCCATGATTTTGCGCACCCGTGCCACCCTGTAGCAATACTTCTGCTATAGGGCAGACGGGAAGTGGTTCATTTTTGCTGACACATAACAGCTTCATATTTCCAGAGTCCTGCTACCTCCAGATACAAGGCATGGCAATAGGGTCAACCTGTGACCAATTGTCTGGGGTTTATCTCTAGTGGGGTGGGAGCAGGACCTTTTTTTCCCCAGAGAGGACCTCTTAATGTTCTTGTGCCAAACTTTATCATGACACAGGTATATTGATAATATTTCCTCTTTTTTAACAGGGTCTATAAAATCCCCTGAATAGTTCATACAGATTCTTAATATGAGTGATTAAAATTTAAGATTTTCAATGACATGACACCAAAAGCTTATCATTGAGTACTGGAAAACTGAGCCAGTAGATATAAAAAACAACCCAAAAGGGAGAAAATGTATGTTTCAGTAATAAGACTCCTAATGAAAATTTTAGAACAGAAATAGCATTTTAGACACATTTTAATGCACAATTGACACTGGTAACTGTCAAATGTACACGTAGCTAGGTTTATTTCACCTCTACCATAAGTCAAACAAAGAAAAGCAAACTTCCAAAGATATCGGTTGTCATGCAGACACCTTGAGAAAAAATAAATAAATTGTGCTGTAAAGGAAAGAGCACATTTAAGCACATGTGCAAGGATATTATTATGATATTTACTACAAAATGGGAAACTTCTACATCCTTTTCATTTTGAAAATTGTGAAACAAAAGCATTTGTTTACTTTCTGAAGTATGACTGTGGAAGCTATTATGTATGGGGAAAACAAAAGACAGTTTGGCATTAGAATAAGTCATCATAATACAGACATGGTATCAGGGAATATATGTTCCTGTTTTGCCAATCTTGTATTGTATAAACATAAAAGTAAGATGCCAAAAAAATTAGTTTTATGGTTTTTATTGGGTACACACTAATCCAAGGGGGGAAATCTAGGATAAACCTTATTAAAATGACAAAGTCCCCCTCTGCCCTAACCCTCTTCCCACTTCCCCTACCCCTTTTTTTCTCCCTCCCTTTCCCCTTTCATTCCACCTCCTCCCCTCATTTTTAGCATTATATGTATTTTGGCAGTGCTATGCCTTGTCATGGTGTCAGAAGGGGTACATGTCACACACGGTTGCCAATGGTGCAGGTTGAGGGGCTGTAGGATGGAAACTAGTTTTACAGTTTTTTCCAGAATTAGGTTTTGGAATCCAGAGGCTTCAAAGAGTCTCGTGAGGGATGAAGTCTTTAACCTTATGTCCACATCTACTGGAGACCGTCAGCCTAATGGTAGATGTGTGTGCACCCTGTTAAATAAAGGGGTGCCTGTGATTTAGTGCTCCTTTCCCCTGCTGGATCAGCATATGGGTAGAGACACACTAGGAGAATGGCTATCCTGGTTTCAAAGTGAGGAGGCCAGATCTGAGCAAGTCTGTGGCCTGAAAAAGATACCAAGGGACTGGGTGTGTAACTGGGCAGGAGCATGTGCAGTCCAAGGTGGGCAGAGTTGCAATAGTTCTGTCATGATAATGCTGAAAACCCTTGCGATGGTAACCTTGTGAAGTTTTTTTTATTTACACTGATTGAGCCAAAAGCCCAGAAAATGTACTTCCCTGGTTGCATTTGATCTAATCCCTCATAGTAGTTACATTCTAACACATGTTCTATGATTGGCATAAAGTTTTTTATCTTCCTTTGTTCCCATGCTGTTCTTGATTACTCCCATTTTGAGAGTGCTTCTGTGATATGGTTCAGCTTTGCAGTCTCATTTTGTTGAGTGGCTCTCTGAGTTGGAACAACCAAGGATGAATATGGGTAGATAACATGATCTATACCCCGCCAAGGCAAGGCTTAACCTCAGCTGATATAGCTGATACCAGCCCTCTGACAACATCAGGACCACAAAGAATGTTTTGAATGTGCACCATGTTTTGGCTACCATTTTTTACTTTAGGTTCACACAGCCTTGATGTTGATAAGAAGTGCAAAGGTTTGAGCTCTTATGCATTGTATTGGATATATCCACGCACCGGGGTTTATTTACTAAAGCTAGAGAGTGCAAAAGCAAAATCACTTCTGCATAGAGGCCAATCAGCTTCCAGGTTTTATTGCCAAAGCCTAATTGAACAAGCTGAGGTTTAGAAGCTGATTGTTTTCTTTGCAGAAGTTAGCCTGATTTTGCACTCTCTGGCTTTAGTAAATATACCCCACTAAGGTGTCCGTTTATGAACCAGCGGTAATAGATCGCTGCTCAGTTCTGCTGTGAATGCCTTTTATGAAGCAGTTCTCAGGACGAAGGGAGAACGGTCTCCAAACGCTGGAAAACGGCTGATTTTACTATAATCTCGCGAGATTACAGTAAAAGATCAGTTTACTAAACAGAGGTAAATTATCTCTGCTTAGTTTGTGGTCCCTCCGATTCTCCAGCTCTGGGCTGGAGAATCTGGAGGGAGAACACAGATCTCCAGTGAAGGGCTGAACATGTTCTCCGCTGATCTCCTGAGTGTCATAAACTGTGAATGACCAGAGAATAGCTGCGATCCTCTGAATCGCAGCTATTCTCTGTGTCATAAACGGACACCTATGTTGCTGGTGCACAGTCAGACAAGAGCCATTCAGCAATACTCAGCATTTGATTATTTTGCCAAATAACAATCCCCTATTTATATCTGCAGGGCAAGCAGCCCGTGTTTGGATGGATGCAATTATTCAAGGATCGCAATGTAGGACCTAGAACTTTATGTGGTATATGCTGGAGTCAGGTTTTATTTAATTAAGCTCAGGAAAGTTTTACTCTCTTCATGACCAGGCCATTTTTTTGCTATTCGGCACTGTGCTACTTTACGTCATGCAATGCTGTACCCAAATTAAATATATATCTTTTCTTTTCTCGCACAAATAGAGCTTTCTTTTTATTATATAAACAAAAAAGACTGAACATTTTTTTAAAAAAACATTTTTTACTTTCTGCTGTAAAACATCTCCAATAAAAAGATTTTAAAAATCTAATTTCTTTATAAATTTAGGTAAAAATGTATTCTGCTACATGTATTTGGTAACAAAAATCCCAATGAGAATATTTTAATTGGCTTGTATGAAAGTTTTAATGTGTACAAACAATGATCTATATACTGGAATTATTTATTTATGTATTTGTTTGTTTGTTCATACTAGTAATGGCAGTGATCAGCAACTTATAGTGGGACCCTGATAGTGCTGGCCAATCTGACACTGACACTTTGGAGAACTGGCTGACACTGACATCACACTAAGGCTACGTTCACACTAGCGTTGTGTGCAGACGGCAGAGAGGCGTTTGGGAAGCGTTCTTACCTTGTGCACATTGTGCAATTCTCCACATTGCAGCACATGGTGCTGTTCTAACGGGAGCGTTAGCGTCACGTCGCGGCAAAACGGATGCCTCTGGTCGAGTCAGGAGGCGTTGAAGCCTCCTATTCTAGCCTATGGTGCCGCTCCACAAACGCCCGGCTGGCGTTTGCGACGCGGTTGCGGGGCGTTTGCAGAGCGGTAACACCATTTAAACTTCATTATAGGCGTTTGCGGAGTGTTTTTAACGCTCGGCAAACGCCTAGCAAACTCCGCTAAACCGCGCATGCGGCGTTTGCGGAGCGTTTGCCGAGCATTAAAAACCGCTCCACAAATGCCGGACCAAAGCTTGCCAAACGCTATAGGGGTGTTTGGCAAGTGTTGGTAAAACAGTCAAGTGTGAACAAGCCCTAATACAGTTACCAGTGCTAATAATATACACTGTCACTGTACTAATGACACTGGCTGGGAGTGGATTAACATCTAGAGGCAATCAAAGGGTAACTGAGTGCCTAACAAGTGCAATGTTTATAAACTGTGCTGCTTTTACTAAACAACGTGACTGTTTTTATCTCCCTGCTTTGCAGGGGAAAAAAAAAAGCATCCACAGCGCTGTACTCTGTAGAGAGCCCTGTGTTGTTTATCAACACAAGTCTCTCTTGTGTCATTCACTCAGCTGGTTCTGGCAATAAATCATTGGCCAAGACCTGTTGATTGGCTTGTGTTGTAGCGAATGACAGCACAGACAGGGCAGTGAGTGTGCCGCCCCCTACCTGGAAATGCTAGATTACGTAGATGTACATGATCTGGTACAGCAGGGTAGATCTGCCACAGTTAAACTACTGTAGGTGGGTCCTAAGTAGTTAAGTGAGCATTGGTTACATATGAGTCTGAACTAGAATAAAGTGTTGACAATGGTACTTTATTGCTTTAAAGGTACTCTGGATGGAGCTGCAGTTACATAATAGTTTAGGGATTTTTTATGTATAGAAAGTAAAGTTATGCTATGTATGTCTATGATTTAGCAAATATCACTTATCTCTATGTCACAAGAAAGGGCTGTCAACTATGGTTGGGATAGTGGACCCTCTGTGAAGCCTGCATGAAGGATGGCGGGTGTGCTCAAAGAGCCATGCAAGCCACAGCTAACTTGATACAGGGAAGCACAGCAACAAGGATCTTGGAAAACACAGGATAGAGGACTCACTGGAATGGCAGGAGTATATTGTAGCACTGGGGTGCTGATCTTACAGGCAGACAGGACACAGATTGTTCAGAAGACACTTACTACACTGGGGTGCATGGCATGGCACTTGGGGTGACAGGAGTATCTTAGCAGCAGCTTACAGGAACACAGATGTAACAATAAGGGAACACTTAGGTGCACAGGAGTCCCAAGGAATAAATGTACATTGGGATATAAAGGTACATTTGGAATCCGGGGTAGGAAAATACCTAACGGCACTGCCTGGGGAGAGCCTGTCTGCACCTACCTACCTGCCTGACTTTATCCAGCACTCCTAATGGTGGAGAGGAGTTTCACAGCAGAAAATGCTCAGTTTTGGTTCT